GGTGAGGATCCTCCGTGTCCCGATGGGATTCCCGGTGGGATCGGGGCTCTCCGTGGCCCCATTTTCTCATTCCCGGTTCTGTCGGGGCCATTCCCATTCCTGTTCCCATTCCCATTCCTGTTCTAGTTCCTGTTCCCATACCTGACCCCGTTCCCGTTTCCAATGTCTCTGTTGCCGTTCCCATTCCCATTCCCGTTTCCATTCCTGTTCCCGGTCCTGTTTCTGTTCCCAGTTTCCACAGCCCCATTCCCATTCCCATTCTTTTCCTGTTCCTTTCCTGTTCCCTTTCCCATACCCCCATTCCCATTCCCATATCCCCGTTCCCATTGTTCCCATATCCCCGTTCCCATTGTTCCCATATCCCCGTTCCCAATGTTCCCATATCCCATTCCCATTCCCATATCCCGTTCCCATATCCCATTCCCATTCCCAATATTCCCATTCCCGTTCCCATTCCCATATCCCCGTTTCCATTCCCATTGTTCCCATATCCCATTCCCGTTCCCATTCCCATTCCTATATCCCGTTCCCATATCCCCATTCCCAATGTTCCCATATCCCCGTTCCCAATGTTCCCATATCCCATTCCCATTCCCAATATTCCCATCCCCGTTTCCATTCCCATTGTTCCCATATCCCCATTCCCGTTCCCATTCCCATTCCTATATCCCGTTCCCATATCCCCATTCCCAATGTTCCCATATCCCCATTCCCATATCCCCGTTCCCATTCCCAATATTCCCAATATTCCCATATCCCCATTCCCATATCCCATATTCCCATTCCCATATCCCCCTTCTCATATCCCCATTCCCATCCCCGTTCCCATAYCCCCATTCCTGTTCTCGTTCCCGTTTCCATATCCCATTCCCAATATTCCCATATCCCCATTTCCATTTCCATTCCCATTCCYGTTCCCATTCCCATATCCCCATTCCCTTTCCCCTCTCCCCATTCCCAATGTTCGCATATCCCATTCCCATTCCCATATCCCATATCCCGTTCCCATATCCCCATTCCCATTCCCATATNTTCCCATATCCCATTCCCATATCCCATTCCCAATATTCCCAATATTCCCAATATTCCCAATATTCCCATATTCCCAATATTCCCAATATTCCCAATATTCCCAATATTCCCAACATTCCCACATTCCCATATTTCCCCCGCAGCTCTCTGCAGCGCCGTTACTCGGAGGCGACGCTGGCCAGCGATTACAGCCGCACCATGGACCACGTGCTCAAGAAGAATTTCGTCGAGTGGCTGCTGGCGCGGCGTGAGAGGAAGAGCGAGTTAGTCCCAAATCCCAAACCCCAAAATCCTGAAATCCCGAAATTCCAAAAACCCAAAATCCCCAAATCGTGAAATCCCAAAAACCCGAAATCTCAAAATCCCAAAATGACAAAATGTCAAACCCCCAAAATCCTGAAATCCTAAAACCCCAAAATCCCTAAACCCTGAAATCCCAAAATCTCAAAATGCCAAAATCCCAAATCCCCAAATCCCCAAATCCTAAAATCCCCAAATCACCAAAATCCCTGAAACCCTGAAATACCAAAATCCCCTAATCCCGAAATCCTAAAATGCCAAAATCCCCAAATCCCAAAGTCCTGAAAGTCCCAAATCACCAAAAATCCCCGAAACCCTGAAATACCAAAATTCAAAAATCCCGAAATCCTAAAATGCCAAAATCCAAAATCCCAAAATCACCAAAATCCCTGAAACCCTAAAATCCCAAATCCCCGAAACCCTGAAATCCCAAAACCCCAAACCCCTGAAATCCTGAAATGCCAAAATTCCAAAACCCCGAAATCCCAAAATCCCCAAACCCCAAAATCCCAATTCCTGGCAGGATTTTTCAGAGGGTTGTGGGATTTTTTTGGGATTTTTTTAGGGATTTTTTATTTTTTCCCAAATCGCGGGAGCGTTTTTGTTCCCTCCACATCTCCCAGAGCGGAATTTATGGAAAAGCGAATTTTTGGCTCCCTCTTGTGGATTTTTAGGATTTTTGGGATTTTTGTTTTCTCGTTTTTCCTTTCCCAGCGACATCGCSGAGTTCAAAAGAGAAGCGGAATCCCAAAAATCGGCTGCAAACGGGGAAAATGTGGAACCGGGAGCTCAAAAATCCCAAAATTTCCTGGAGT